CTTTAGAGTTGCCCTGGGCTCAGGGGGGAGCTCCTGGCCCCAACTCCCCTAGTCCCCTAGGGTCAGGACTAGGGTTGTCTTCTTTTGGAGTCTATTTAGCTTCTTTGGGCATTCTCGAGCCCAATGTCCTCTCTCCTTGCAGTAAGCACATTGATCTTTGTCCACTCAGGGTCTTCTTTTGTCTCCCAGGTCCCTACCTGGTCCTGTTCCCTGAACTACTGTGGCCAAAATTCGACTCAACTCTTTATTTCTCTTCTTCTCTCTCTTATCTTCTCTGGCTTCCTGTTCTTTTCTAGTTCTATCCTCTCTCTCTTCTAATGTCTCACGTTTATTGTAAATTTTCTCAGCTTCTCTTATTAAATCCTGTAAGGAGTACCCATGAAGGCCTTCTAGCCTTTGAAGCTTGCCATGAATGTCAGGAGCAGATTGCCCTATGAAGGCCATAATAAGGTCTGCCTGACGCTCCTGAGCTGTGGGATCAAAAGGGGTGTACATCCTATATCCCTCTATGAGGCGCTCTAGAAACCCTGCGGGGGTTTCATTTTCTCCCTGGGTTATAGCACGTACCTTTGCCAAATTGGTTGGGCACCTTCTGGCCCCTTTGAGACCCGCTAAAAGAGTCTGGTGATAAAGACGGAGGCGCTCCCTACCTGCCACGGTTTCAGGGTCCCAGTTGGTTGGGAGCAAAGTGGGTCTCCCATCCTCCCCGGGGACGTTTTTCTGGGCTTCCAGGATGACTCGCTGTCTCTCCTCTGTGGTTAGGAGTGCCTGGAGAAGTTGTTGGCAATCTTCCCAAGTGGGTTGGTGGGTAAGAAGAATAGACTCAATTAAAGCAGTTAAAGCCTGAGGGTCCTGAGAAAAAGAAGGGTTATGAGTCTTCCAATTATACAAATCTGAGGCTGAGAAAGGCCAGTATTGGATCTGATCCCCTACAGTTCAGAGGGGAAAGACCTGGGCAGTCCAGGTTCCACCAGAAGGACCTCCTCTATCTCTTCTCAGACGAAGTCTGCTAGATGGAGGGGGAGATTGATCAGGTTCGGTGGAATCAGGAGAGGGATGAGGTAGTTCTTGGGGTGGGGGTGCCTGCGCAGGTGGATAGGGAGGTGGAGGATCAAGGAGGGTTAAGGAGGCTTGGTCCTCAGGGAGGACTGGCTTCTGCTTCTTTTCAGGGGAAGACTGGAGGGGTAAAAGGGAAGAAGTGAGATTTGGGGGAACTGAAGGGTAGAGGGCCCTTGATTAGTCTCTCTGGTTCCCCGTGGAGGTAGGAATGGTCGTGCCCAAGGTGTAGGGTTCCGGGCCAAGTCTTCCCAGGTGACTATATAAGCCACCTGGTCCGGGTGTCCATGTGGTCCTGGGTGGAAAATGTATTCCTTAACCTATAAGATAGTAGCAAGGTCAAAAGTCCCATCCCTTGGCCATCCTTTTTCAAAAGAGGGCCACACAGAGGAACAGAGATTCTGCCACTTTTTCTTTTTAACCTCCAGTGATAAATTACGGGCCCGTTCTATGACCTCCTTCCAGTGTTTCAGGGTTAAGCTTAAAGGGGTAGTTAATGATTGACCCATGATAGAGGACATGAGAGAGAGAGAGAGAGAGAGAGAGAGAGAGAGAGAGAGAGAGAAAGAGA